CTCGAGCTTCCACGCACTCCTCGGCAGAAACCCCCACACCAGAGCCTAAGCTGAGGTTGGGAGCACTGCCATCATAGACCCCACCCCACACACTGCATTACTGGTCGGACACCAATCTCCTGCGGAGGCCAGCCATCGCTGTCAGCCACGAGAGTGTGGACCGAATCCATCTGCTTCTGCAATATATCAGAAAGTAAATCAATTGTTAGCTGGTTAGGAAACAGGGACAGGAGGGGGGAAGGTGCCTGTGATGTTGAGGGGATGGCAGGTGAAGGAGCCGAGGCCGTGCCCTCGCCCGCTTAGGAGCATCCCCGAAAGAGAGGAAATAAGCCTTCTTTTTCTTTGTTTTTTATCTTTGTCTTTAGGCTCCTTCTGACCCCAAAATGTCCCCCCGCCTGAAGTAAGGATCGTAGAACATGTAATCAGCACGCCTGGACTTGATGAATAGCGGGGAGAAAGCCTGACACATAGAACAACCTTTCAGTTGCGCCTCATGGGCTTCCTCCGCTAAACAACGTAAGCAAAACCAGGTGGCGATCCTGAAGGCGCACAAACTGCCGCTACAGGTGACACACCCTTTGGCTGCAAAACAGAACCACGCTTATGATAATAGCAAAGGACTGGTACGATATACATAATATAATATGCACACAACAAAACAGAACAAAATACAACGCCTGGCGATATTTTAACTGCTACAGCAAAGTTATTAATTACTAGCTTAAGCCAAAATAGCTTTTGCCGCATCATGCATATAGGTGACAAAGAGCAACATGTGTGAGCGACACGATAAACGCTCATAAACGCCAAAAGACTCTACAAGCTTAAAACTTACCTAAAGCCTGAAAAGAGGAATTTAGGCAAGTATAATTGTACAAAATGAAATATCAGCCCTTTCACAACCGACTACAAGGCTTTTTCTAAAGCCAGGAGAAGGCAAAAACGGAACCCGCGGTCCGCTTATCTTGCCTGCCACGGGTTGGAGACAGCTTAACACGCTTCGTAAAGTTACAACAAATCATGAATGAAAAAAAGTAATAGATTCCAGCTACCGAAGCTTAAAAAGGAACCATACATACAGGATTTGACTCTATCTCACTCATCCTTATTCAGGATCTTGGACCATGCAAACGAATCTACACGGGCCGACTTTCCACAGCATGAAAAGTGAGGTACGAGGTACACAGCCAGAGTTACCTGCTCTTGGCTGTAGGGGGCCCTCTACGGGGCCCTGTAGGGGTGGTCTCACCACACATAGCGAGTTTTTTGTTTGGTAAAATATTTTATTGAAATATTGTTACAACTGTCGTAGGCTTTTAAAATGGACATTTTAATGCTTATATGTACCCCAAGGAGGACTTCTTCTGAAAAAGAAGTCTCAAATACGTCGGCTAATAGTAGTACATCCATCTTCAAGTACAGATCGTGATAGTCACCCAGGTTTTTACAACCAAGTTTATTCCATACGTTAATAGCGTACGAGTAATCGTCTTGGGATATTGCCGAGTCGGTCAGATTGCTGTAAAATTCTCTGATGGGGGGTAGTCTGGTCTCGGCGAACTTAGTCCAACTATCCATGTACTCATAGGGATACACACCCTTCCTCATAAGCAGAGATCTAGTCTCGGCGTCTGTGTATCGATCGGTAATAGGGAAGGTATCGTTGGCTTTGATCAGGCTGGCTAGTGGACGACAATTAGAAATTTCGACACGAGTCAATGAACGTAGAGTCCGCCTAAGCCGAAAGAGAGATATTTCTCCATGTTGTTGGAGAATGCACGTTATATTACCATCAATTCTCACATGGCCTGCATGATCAAGTGAGTCGTACCCTCTCAAGTTGTGAAAGACAACGGGATGTTTATTATCTCAGGGTGA